TTGACAGACAGAGATCACAAGTAGGCAGAGAGGCAGGCAGAGAGAGGAGGAAGCAGGCTCCCCATTGAGCAGAGAGCCCGATGCGGGGCTCGATCCCAGGACTCTGGGATCGAGACCCGAGCCGAAAGCAGAGGTTTTAACCTACTGAGCCACCCAGGTGCCCCCCAAAACCTAGTTTTAAGGAATGGTTTAGTCTTCCACTTGCTGCCATATGTCATTGGATTCTTGCAATATCCCCGGAATAAGTAGAAAAGCAAAGATTACTATCCCCCTTCTATTGAGGGAAAAATTGAGACTAAGGAAGGGTTGATCCATTGGGGCAGAGGCACTCAGTGAGGATCCTTAGTTCCATGACTGTACTAAGCAGGTGCTTATTGAAGGAGAAATGAATGAATAGGTTTCATCCACTTGGTGGGAATGCTCTGAAGGGCAGGGACCCTTTTAGGAAAAAAAAAGGAACTGTTCCCAAACATAGGCATGCATAAGAATCATCAGAGAAATTTCTTTAAAATGCAGACTACTAAAAATAAATAAATAAATAAATAAATAAATAAAATGCAGACTACTCAGATCCTCTTCCTTCTCGGAAAAGATTTCTTCTATCCGAAGGTGAGGACTTCTGTATATTTAACAGGTTTCCTGGGAGATTATGAGTGGTTTTTTTTCTTATGATTTTTTTTCTTATGATTTTTCTTATTATTTTATTTCTCTACACCCAATGTGGGGCTCAACTTTACAACCCCAAGATCAAAAGTTGCATGGTCTACAGACTGAGCCAGTCAGGCGCCCCTTCCTGGGAGTTTCTTACACACTTTAGAAAACTGCTTTGGCAGACAAAGAAGTGGTGGTTGTATATGGTGATGGTGATAATGATGGTAAATGGACAAGAGGGAAAGGCATCATGTGCTCGGGCAGAGGAGGATAAATCCTGTCCAAATTCTTATATCACTTACCAAAGTTGTAGGACATATACCGGGTTCTAGGCGTTCTGTTAGGTGCTAGGGATATAGTCATTAAGACATACGTCATCTACATCCTCAATGGAAAAAGAAAATTCGTCCTTGAGAGTGATGCCAATATTTGTGGGTGTTTCAGGGGTAAAGAAATGTGGGAGAAAATAGAGCAGGACAAAGTCAAGGTCAAGAGAGGGAGTTGGATGGGACAGGTTCTAGGAGCTAGAAGCAGGAGCCCACCTCTTTTTGGGAACAAGCTGACCTAGTTGCTTCTGCTGCCTGCCTCTCTGTAGGGCTCCCCTCCCTCTCTCCTTTCCTCACCTCACCTCTTCTCCTCAGTACCTCCTACTTTACTTCATCCCATGTCTACAGTCCACGATAATGATTGGTATTAAAAAATACTGGAATGTCATTGAATTATTCACTTTAAAATGATTAATATATGGCATGTAATTTCACCTCAAAAAGAAAAAAAATACTAGGTGCTCATATCCATCCATCCATCCCAATCAGCTAAGCTTGCCATCCTCTTGGACATGTCATTATATTAAAGTCCTTCTACATAGGCTCCCTGCCTCCCTACCACACCCCAGGTCCACCTGCCAGGCAGCTCTTAACTTCCCATTTTTGCCAGTACCACAATTCTGAAAATTGCTCCAAAGGTGTTCTCTCCTTCCCCAGGTCTGGTCCATAACTAAAAGTAAACCAGGGAGAAGAGCACTAGGTTGAGTACTTGTTAACTGTGTGACCTTGGGGAAGATATTTAACCTCTTTCAGTCTGCTTCCTCAAGGACTTAAACCATTTACCTTAATCATCCATTCAACCGAACTGAGATGGTATTTCCTTAAAGAAAACGGGGCCACTAGATCACCTGGGGTGGGGGTGGGGGTTCCTTCCCAGAGGGAGATGAAGCTGGAAACTGAGGTTTAAAGGAGGCATTAACTTATTAGTAGGCAAGAAGGAGAAGAATGTTTTACAGACAAGTTCAAAGTTATTAATCTCTCTGAATCTCAGTTTTTTGCTTGTTCAGTGGAGTATCTTCCTCCTAAGGTCGTTATGAAAAGTAAGTGGAATCGCAGGTATGAAACACCTAGCACAGTGCCTGGTACAAACTGTATGCTCGACACAGTTTTGCTTCTTTCTTGACTTCCAACTTCCATATGTGTAATCTAGAATGGAACTTCAGATTCATTCACAGAAGGCAAAGTCCCTATCCGGTGGGTTGCAAGCCCCTTTGTCCACTCAGGTGCTTGGTGATCACCATGGAATCTGGCCAAGCTAGTTGTTTGGAATGAGTGGCCTCAGGGGTAAGTGGTCACAAGATTGGGGGAAGGCAATCTCATGGACAGTAGAGAAAGAAAAGGTTCAAAGCAAGCAGTCCCTCTCCTCCACACTATTTCTAATCCTCCAGTCCAATCCAGCCCACTCCTGACACTAGAAATAAGAGATAACCTCACTGAAAGCAGAAAAGAGCTAAAGTATACGGAGAACTGACTACATGGCTGGCATCAGGCTAGGTGACTGGACATACCTTGTCCATTGATTCTCACCAAGCTGCAGGTACCAATTACAGAAGGTAAGGCCAGAGCTCAGAGTAGGGAAGTCAGTTGTCTCGTCATTTGCTCTAAAGAGGGGCAAAGCTGGAATTCAAAACTCGGTATCCCAAATTCCAGGTGTGGGTTCTGTTGTTTTAGATTCCCCTTACTCCATCTAGTGCTGACCTCTGCCTGGGGGAATGTGAGGAGATAGATACAGGCAGGGGATGCTGCCAAAGAAACACCTGCTTAAATATGCACGGCTTCAGTCAGGTCTCTACAGCTCCCCCTCCCCTCCCACCCCTGGAGTGGGGGAATCCACAAGGTGGTTGGGAATGCAGGCCTTAAGAGTGTGGCTATGATCACAGCTCCCCCTCCTCCACCCTCTCCTAAGCATATGGAGGGGGTCTTGCCTCTCTAGGCAGGCCCTCATTTTTTTTTTTCTTTTTAGATTTTATTTATTTGAGAGAGAGAGAGAGATCACAAGTAGGCAGAGAGGCAGGCAGAGAGAGAGGGGGAAGCAGGCTCCCCACTGACCAGAGAGCCCTATTTGGGGCTTGATCCCAGGATCCCTGAGATTCATGACCTGAGCCAAAGGCAGAGGCTCAACCCACTGAGCCACCCAGGCGCCCCCAGGCCCTCTTTTCAATCCCCAGACTATGTGTCTCCCCATCATTTCATGCTCCCTCAGCAAAAACAAAGATGGAGAGAAGGGGGTCTCATAAACACTAGAACCTCCACATCTGCAACCCTCCCCCACCTAGTCAAGCCAGCTGTGCAAACTCTGGGCAGGAGTGAGGGCAATCAAGAATCCCCTCCCCCAAATTACAAAGGGGAGGAGGATCTCCTACCCAGTCTGGGCCAGATGCCCTAGAGAGGGGACACCAGCCCAGGTCCCCAGTGTCTACTTCCAGAGCCCACCTTAAAGGTTAAGCTGGCAGCTGGGGACCCCCCAGAAGGAAAAGGGCCAGCTCTCCCAAACAGCTCCCTTCCCCTCCCTCTTCCCTGCTAATAGGTATTTCCTGTTTATGAGGCTGCTAAGGCTGGGCTTTTGGGAAGGGATGGAGATGGAGGCCCCCCCTTCCTAGGGCTGGGCTGGGGAGTCCTTGAGGAGTGCCTGAAGGTTGGGAGGCTCCTCCTTGGGAAAGAAGTGTTCGTTACACTGACCAGGCAGACTTTCATCCTCCCCCCGCCCCCACCAACGCCTCAGCCCCTACGGGTAGGGGTCACTGGAGGGGTCTCCTTCCTGTTCTCCCCAGTCGCGAGGCCCCCAAAGGAGAGCAGCCTGTAGGCGAGGGGGGAGTGGGGGGGGGAAGGCCCAGACTGGATGGAGAAAGGGGGAAGGGAGGAGAGTGTCTTGACTGATGAGTCAGAGCCCGCAATGGGGAAGGAAGGCCTGCGGATTACCCCCTCCCCAGCCCAACCAGGCGGTCATTCCACTGCCCCCCTCCCCCCAGCAAAATGCAGATCCCAGCCCTTAGGCGGGGGAGGGGGGACCCCACTTAATTAACCCTTTTGGCTCTAGTCCTAACTGGTTTAGCCGGCACGGGAGGGGTGGTTAATTTAGGGAGGAGGTGAGCTGGGTAGCTACAGGAATTAGGAGAGTGCTTTCCCCGCCCAGGTTGAGGGGGAGGGGGAGGGGATGGGATTTAAAGGCTTTCCAGAATAAGACTGGGGTCTCAGAGAGCAAGAGCGAGGGGGAGGAAGGGGGTGTCGGCAGTCCCTTTTCCTTCCCTGAGCGCGCCCGAGGTGGAGGGGAGAGCTACACCTCACAGCCCACCCTGGCTCCGCCTCCCCCAGTCCCGGCTCCCGCTCCGGCTCAGCTACGCTCCCAACTCGGCGGCACCCGGAGGACGGACACCGAACACTAGGCTTCGCCTCTTCTTTCTCCCCCCGCCCTTCTCCTCTGGGGTCTCAGCCTCCGTCTCCTTTTTTAAAAGCTGCGTCACATGCATGCTGTTCCCTCAACGCTCCCGGCCCCTCGCCGCCCGCCCGCCGCGCAGCGCACGCACGTCGCCGCTCGCTGCGCGCTCGCCCGGGTCACTTTGACATGGCTCTCCCCTCCCACTAGCAGGCAATTAGCATATTAATAAAGCCCGGCCCAGCCCGCCTGGGGCTGGAGAGCGAGCGCGGACGACAGCGAAAGCGGGAGCGAACGCGGGAGGGAGAGGGGGTGAGCGGCGGCGGCGGCGTTGGCGGCGGGGAGGGCGGCGGGAGCGCACAGACACGCACACGCACACGCGCACACACGGACACACACTCCGGAGACGCACACCCGCGCGCACACACGCAGAGGCAGCTCGCCTTCCTGCCTGGCTTCCTTCCTGTCTGCTCCTCGCCTGACAGGCCCCTCGCTGCAGCCAGGGGCCGCCAGCACCGGGCCGAGGCCGGGCCGGGCCGGCGGCGAGGGCAGCGGGGCCGCGGGCGGCGGCGGCGGCTCATGCCCGGCCTGTCCCCGCGCGGGGCGGGCACCGTGACTCGGCTGGGCCCCCAGCGGCGGGCGATGTGAAGATGTCAGTGGGCTGTGCCTGTCCTGGTGAGTGGGGCGCGCGGCCGCCCGGCCCCTCCCTCCCAAGCCCTCCCGACAGATCCCTCACCCCTTGTTTGGCTAGAACTTGTGTGGGGAGCGTCGATGGCATGGCGGAGGTCGGGGGCTGTGAGGGGTATGCGGGGCCTTAGTCCGGGGGAGGGCTCTCAAATGCGGATACGTAGAAGCCCAGAGGCAGGGAAGGGGGTGCTAGGGGTAGTGTGTCCGTGGCGGGGTGGGGGGGGGAGGCGTGTGTGTGTGTGTGTGTGTGTGTGTGTGTGTGTGTGTTTTGGTGGGGGACGCTAATTGAGGAGGGGCTTGGGGGGCTGAAATTCCCAGAATTCCAGGGTGTTAGCCAATCAGAAGTGAGTCTGGACTTTTGACCCCCCCCTCAGGTCATCTTAGAGTTGTGATTGGCTGGTTTGGGTTGCCCCCCCCCCTCTGCTGCCTATTCCCTCTTACTTTTCCTGTGATACCCCCCTCCAGGCTGTTTCTGTGGACTGTGTTTGGAGGGAGGGATTGATTGGGGCCCATCTTGCCCCCCCCTTCCAAATTTTCCTGCCTGTTGCCAGGCGAGGTTAGCCTTCCTGAGGGACAAGAGGTACCCTGGGGAGGGCGGGGGGGGGGCAGATAATTGGGCCCTCGGGGTCTGGCATCTCCACCCTAGTGGGAGGGGTAATATGGTGGCTACAAGCAAGTTAGGAAATAGAGTGATTTGTGGGAGTCAAGTTCAGGGGAGCAATACTTGACCCCAGAGTGAGAACTTGGAAGAGGACTCAGGCCCAGATCCCTGTCTCCCCAAAACACTTACCAGCTCTTGCTAGTGACAGCCTGGGTCTGAGTTTTTTCCTGGGGAGGGGGAAGGCTCTGCCTCACTGCCAGAAGGAAAGAGAGAGGCTATGTCACTGGAGAGGTGGTCTTCAGAGGTCCTCAGAACATTGTTTATCCTCCTCCTCAGGACTCTGGGTTTTTGAATTATGTGCAGGACCTCCTCTTGTCCCAGGCTGGAGTTAGCTTTCTTGTGAAAGTCAGGTGTCCCAGCATCTAGCCTGGTTTGGATCCTTGGCTTCTGCACAAGCCCTGTTCTCTGGGGAGCCCCATACTCCACAACTGAATCCCCACTACACACCACACACACACACACACACACATACTCACAAACAAACATACTCACACAATCCCCAAGGGGAGCTGCCAGTGCTGAAGCTTCCTTGAAAATCATGTGACACAGGCCAAGCTGGGCTGGGCACACATTGAAAGTGCCTGCTGAGGCTGATGTTTAAGGCCATGGGGGAGTCCTTAAGGGAGGGAGGACTAGTAGAGAGAGCCTGAGGATCCTGGAATATCTAGGTGTGGGAACCCCTGGCTCCTGCTGCAGAGGGTGGGGGAGAGGAGGAAAGGGAAGAGCTCACCAAGCTGGAATCCTGCCTGGCCCTTCCTCCTCCTACCAGCTTGGTGTGCATGTTTATATGTGTATTTTCTTTATAATTGCCCTATGCTGGGTATCCACACTGTGAGTCCTCCCCATGGCCTTCATCCTCCATCACCACACAGGAACTTAGCAGAAACTAAGGCTCTGAACAAGCTAGGGGGCTGAGTCTTAAATTTTGATTCATAGTTCCTACAAATAGTGGGTAGGAGGTGTGTATGGAAGGGTTGTCAGGCTAGATGTAAATGAGAGGTTGGTACTAAAGTTGAGGCAGGGTGCCTGGGTCCAGGAGGAGAAAGGATAAAGTTTCCCCCTCAGTTTCCCTGGGAGCAGCATGGGGATGGGAAGAGGACCCATGCACAGGGGTGTGTGTGTGGTGGGGGACAGCTTAAGTCAATGGCCCAAAAGACATGTTCCTTTTGTGTGTCTGGGTGACACTCCTGGCTGGAGGAAAGGGGGGCAAAAGATGGCTATGAGTGGGGAGTTTTTTTTCCTGGATGTGAAGAAGTCTTTTGGATTGATAGCACAGAGAGTGGATGGAGGTTAGACTTCAAGGAGAACCAAATGGGGAGGGGCCTTGGAGTGGCCTGGGGGTGGGGAATGTTGGGAGTTGGAGTAAGGGAGGGGACCAGGCTTGTTTGGATGGGTGGGAGCACATGGTTGAACACAAGGGCATCATGGCAGCATGTACAGTCCAAGCCCAGATACACCCCCCACACTTGAGCAGGCCTGGGGTGGGGGCCGAGGTGCCCTGGCAGGCCGCCTGCCTGCTGCCTGCCTGCCTGTCTGAGTCTCTCCTTTGTGCTCTGCTGTCTCCCGGCTCCTCCTCCTCCCCCAGCCCAGCAGAGACAGCACATGCCCCACACATGTGACTGAGGGAAGCCAGAGCACACGCAGACCCACACACATGCAAACGCGGAAGGAAACACCACAAGATACAGACGTACACACCCCTACCCCCCCCAGCTCCCATAATGCTTTTGGAGTAGGTAATAGCTTCTGAAGCTTTGATCAGGAGCAGGGAGAACCTCTGCTAAGGGGCATCACCGGGGCAGGGCAGGTTGCTGAGAGATCCTGGGCCTGTCTGGGGCAGCATGTGGCTCAGAAGGGTTAAGGCAGGGAGGAGTAGGGGGAGGGGAGGAGGCAGCAGTGGTGGCGGCTGGGAGCCAGGAGAGGAGGATGGCAGAGCGCCAGGCCAACGGGAGGCCGGGCACAGACAAAGGAAGGGGGGCAGGCACACTGGAGGCCTGGGTCAGGGAGCCCCAGGGGCCCGGGCAGGGGGCAGTGCTGGTACCTTATCCTGTGGGCTGGGATAGGCTGCTGCCCTTCAGAGTTCCAGCTCCAGGACCCGGTGCTCTTCTCTCCATCACCTTTGTCGTTCTTTGCTGCTCTGTGCTTTCTCCCCACTGCACCTTCCCCTTCCCTGCACCACCAATTTTAGGGCCTTCTAACTTCGACTTGTTTCTTTAGCTGGACCTCTTTTGCTCCTGTACAAGTGGGGGAGTTAAGTCAGAACTGAGAAAGGAGCAGACTTGCTAGAGAAGGGGAACCAGGAGCAGGGCCCCTTTTTGAGTGATGGACCAGAGTCCTAATACTTCTTGGTATTTGGGGGCCTGTCTGAAATTTGAGGAGACAAACTGGGTGGGGGTTCTGAGCTCTAAACTGGGGGCAGAAGCCAGAGCACACACATCCCTCTTCCTCATGTAGACAGTCATTTGGAACCTGGAGTGGCCATTCCTTGGAATGGGAAGGGAATAGGAATGGCTGCTGTGCCCCAGGGCTGGGCATGTATGAGTGGGGCTAGAAGTCCAGGATTCCAGTTCAGGCCCTCCTGTCTCACTATAATCTGCTCAAGTTAGCATCGTCTTTGGCCCTGTATTCAGTAGGGATCTCTTGAGGTACTGCCTTATGAATGCACTTTGTGGGAAGTTTAAGGGCATGAAACAAATGACAGGAATTGTCCTGTCACTAGGGGAGAAGTGTGTTCATCTCAGAGTTGGGCTGTTTATTGGGAGTCAGTGGAATATTTCAGTTCCTGGTGGTAGGCAGTATGTTTCAGGGTCTGGCTGAATGTCTTAGTTTTCAGTATGTTTGTGAAAGCTGGAGCATATCCTATGGTCAGAACATGATGGAGAATGGTACGCAGGTTTCAGGGAGGGTGGTGTATGGGGTAAGTCCCTGGGTAATAGACGATCAGGTTGTGTATATAATAGTCTGTCACAGGTTTTGGGGGTATAATGCAGCTTGGGGTGTGTGTGTTGGGGTCAAAGGGCATGTGTCACAGGTCCCAGTGTGTACAGAAGTCAGGGCTGTCATAGACTATGTATGTGTGTGTGTCTTGGGTTTGGGTTTATTTGGTTTTTGAGGTATGTCGCAGGTTGAAGTCTGTATCAGGTTCTGATTTAGGTGAAAGGAAGAGGTGTTATTCATTGTGAAGGGTGTTCAGGGAGCCAGGTGCAGTAGGACTGCAAGTCAGCCAGGGTGTCTATCATGAGAAACCTTGCCATGGGGCTGTGCGAGTGTGCTTGGGGGTGGGGCAGGGCAAGGAATAAGGAGCAGAGACTCAAATTGCAAAGCAATAGGAGGTCTGTATGGCTTCACCCCCTCCTGTGTGTGTGTGTGTGTGTGTGTGTGTGTGTGTGTTTCCTTTTTCCTTTTTCCTATATGTCCAGGTAGTAGGGCCTGGACCACTATCCAAGTTTTAGAAACACTTCCTGTCTTGGGATTTCCCCCTTGCATTAGAAAGCAGGCTCTACTTCAGTAACCACGTACCATTTTTTTCCCCCTGGGATGAGGGTAGGACTCAGCAGCACACTAGGTCCTTTCTGGGGACTGCTGGGTGGGCAAATTGGCCTTCCCTAGCTGTGACAGTGCCTCTTTCCCTTGCACCCATGAGACTCTGGTGGTGGGGGTTAGGGAAGGGGGTTAGGAACTTAGCTGGGTTGGGGAGAGGGAGCTTGGAATGTCCCCTTCCCTCCAGTCACTGTTTACCCACTGAAGCAGAGTGTGTCTCTGTCAAAAATAACCCCCTGGAGGCTCCCCCCAGCTGCTCTGGGATTTCACCAGGGGCGGAAGCCCAGGGTGGCAGCTCAGGGTGGCAGCTCCGGCCAGCCTTCCAACCTGGAAGATCACAGGGGGAGAGGAAGAGAGATTTGGGGGATGTTGGGGAGGCAGTTTGAAGATACTGGGAGTATTCAGAGAGGAGAGCACCCTTTTCCATCCCTGCCAGTGGCTCTGGCTAGCCTGCTCACCCCAAGCACCAGGCTTGGAGCTGGGGGTTGGGGGCATTTCAGTTCCTGGCCTCACACACCTCCCCCCCTCCATCCAGGTCTCTCCAGGCCCAATCTGTTCTGTCTCCATCTCTCCCTCTGTCTCTCTCGGTCTCTGTCTCTCTTTTGTTTTTCTCAGCAGTCCTCCCAGCCTGCCTCCGTCTCTCCCTCCCTCCCTCTCTCCCTCTTCCTCTTTCCTCGCAGGGAGGGGGCGGGGCCGGTGGGGGCAGCTCCACCCTCCGCCCGCCCTGGGGCCTCATTCTGAGAGAGGCTCTGAGATCCGAGAGGGAGCGGGGAGGGAGGGATAGAAAGGGAGAAAAGGAAGGGAGCCGGCGGGCGCTGCGTGTGTCTGTGCGTGTGCAAGTGTGAGTGAGTGTGAGTTCCGGGCCCTGCCTCTCCTGGTGCCCCGGTGGAGGGGCCTGCTGGCCTGGGGAGGGCGGGCGGGCTGCTTGGAGGCAGAGGCAGCGAGAGGCGGCGGCGGGGAGAGCCGAGGAGGAGGAGGAGGAGAGAGGAAAGAGCGGAGCAGCCATTGTTGAGGGAAACCTTGCAAACAAAGAAGGCTCCGGACTCCCCGCGGCCCCCCGCCCCCCAGGCCGGCCCCCTAGCCCCCAGCCCCCGGCCCAGTGGCCATTGTAACTTTCCCCCGGGGCTGTGGCCGCCGCGGGGCGGGCCAAGGCTGTGCGTGCGAGTCTTTGTGCAGCCGGCAGAGTGGAGCTCCCAGCCAGGCCTGCCTGTCCCACTCGGGACATGAGCGGCTGAAGTTGGCCCCCTCAGTCCTCACCCCTGCCAAGGCCCCTCTGGGCTTCCAGCCGCTCCCTGCACCTCTCCTGGCCCCCTCAGTTCTCCCAGGTAAGTCTGGGCACCCTGCAAGCCTATTGGGAGTGGGTGGAAGATCCTGGGTCTGGCCCCGGCCTGGTATGCTAGCTGCGGGAGAGGTGTCCCAGCTCATAGAGGCCAGGTCTCTCAGGCCTGCTGACCTGTGGTCAGCCCCCAAAGGGAGGGGGCCTGCCCTTAGGTCAGGCTGGTTACCATGGAAATGCCCAGCTGGAGGTGCCCCCCTCAGCCCCAGGATGCAGCTTCCATCCTGAGAAAACTTTACTAGTTCTGGGCTCTACCTCTCTTCTTCCTCCTCCTAAGGGCTCCCAGATTGCTAGAGGTTGTGTGTGTGCAGGGTTGGGAAGGGGGCTATGTCTGACTCCAAGGCTGATGACACATCCCCTTCACCCCCACCCTCTCTTTGCTCCCTCTACCCCTGCTGCTGGGGACAGGCAGCAACAGGGACAGATGGTCTGGGTGATGTTCCCTCCCCTTCTCTTCTCACTCCCAAGCCCTTGTGCTGGGGCTACTGGGAGTTGCTATGGCTCTGAAGAGATGCTGAGTTTGTGTCCATTCCCTGGACGTATAAATGGAGGTCTCAGAGCTTTGGGCTTTAGCTCTTCAGAACTGTTAACCCAGCCCCAGGCAATGTCTGCCAGGTCTCTGGTGAGAGAAATTGAAGCTCTGAAACTTTTTTTCAGAATTAGGGGGAACCCAGGTGTGCTTCCTATCTTCTGAGGGTCTTGAGCTGACAAAATCAAGTAGCCCTGAAACTGTGGGGCAGAGGCGGTGATGCTTTTGGGGAACGGATGGCCTAGGAAGGGGGCAAGGACCAGGTCTTATAATTTAGACTCTTGGGTTTCATTGGCCGGACCTGGCCTTTGGTAGTCTCTGGGAGCTGGGGGTTCTTACGTGGCCTTAGTCTACCCATCTACGGAGTGGGGAGACTTGGAACTGGTGAGGGGGGTGGCGGGGAGGACTGTCTCTTTCCTAAGGATACAGGCTCCTCATTCAGTCCAGACGGGCATGTGAAGGCTGTGTGCTGTGCTGGGAGTATGTGGATATGGCCTGTGAGAGATCATGCACTGGGCAAGGGCCTGTTGCAGGAGCCCTGGTCCTGCCTGGGGCTGCTGGGTTCCAGTTCTTGGTAGGCATGTCAGGGCGAGCTGAGGGTGGAAGCCTGCTAGGCAGGATGAGGCACACGCGTGTACAGGCACACACAGGCTCTGAGTCTTGGCACCTTCAGGAACTGTGTAGTGTAGGCCCCTTTGGGACCCTCCTTTTGCCCATATTGTGAGGAGGGGGCCCTGGAGAGATAATTAAATGATGCATGTTGGCACAGGGTCTTCTTTTGTCTGTTCCCCTAAGGAACAAAATAGATTTTGCATCTAATTTGGGGAGGGGGGTTAGATACAGCCAATATGGTCACCCTTCCAAACATAATCAAGTTGTAGGGATGCCACGAAGCACCTAGGGGCTAGGACCTACCTTCCTGTGCCTCAGTTTCCCCTCCTATCTGGTAAAGAGGGGGAAGATAGGATTGCAGGGGTGCCTGGTTCATATCCAACTATGAATATAAGATTTCCAGGAAATAGTACACCAGGAGTAGTGTGCTGCTCATTGAGGTGGATAGGGGACACGTGTGCCCATGCATAGAGAACATAAGCAGAGACCTGTGTCTAGTTACCAGTTGCTTCCTAGATGGAGCGCCCTGGAGCCTAGGTTCCTTCCCAGGTCTAGGTTTGTAAGTAGAGGGGAATCCATTGGAGGCCTGTCTGTCTCTTTTCTCCACTGCAAGTCTCAGACATGAAAGGAGGTTGAGGCTTTGGGTTTCTGGTTTGGAGACAATACTAGACCCACGGTGGGTGTGGGGGAGGGGGCTGGGCTGATAAGGGAGTGTCCGTTGGTGGAGGAGGCAGAAGGCCCAACTGGTTATCTGGTGGGAGGCACCCAGCAGGCACCCACTCCCCTTTATCTTTCTATCCCCTGCCCTCCTGAGACCCTGGGGTGGAGAGGAGGGGCAGGGAGTTGGCAGATTTCACACACACACACACACACACACACACACACACGCACACACGCACACACACACAAACCCGTATCCCCTCCCCCAGCTTGGTCTCTAGAGAGCAATAGAGGGGTGGAAATACTACAGGATATGGGAATCAGATCTAGGCCCAAGTCCTGGCTCTGCCACAGTTACTAGCTCTGTGATTTTGGCAAGACCCCTTGAGCTTCTTCTTGCCTTATCTGTAAAATGGGGATTTTTACAGTTGACCCTGCTACCTCACAGGGGGTTGTGATGATTGAACAATATAATATAGCTGCAAAGGGGATTTATCAAAATTAGATTCTAATGTTTGGATATTCATTTATTTTATGGTATCGACATTTCTTCCCAGTTTCAATTCTGTTATCTAGGACTCAGCCACATGAAGAAATGTGGTCTTGGTTATTAGGGCTGAGTACTTCTAGTTTCATGATAAAACAAAATCGAAGCTAGATTTAGAAGCAGAGGTACGTGTTCCTTTGGGTCATCCCCATCCCCAGTCCACCCACTCCAGGGGCTCTGGAAGACTAGTCCCTGTCCGCACAGTCTTGGAGACTTCCAGGAAAGATCCTGGGACTCAGGGAACCTTTTCTTCCTTTGCCTTCTAGGTTGTTCCTCAAAGTCGTTCAAGCTGTACTCACCGAAGGAGCCCCCGAACGGCAACGCCTTCCCCCCCTTCCATCCCGGCACCATGCTAGATCGGGATGTGGGGTGAGTCTTATCCACTTTCCATCTCTTCTTCACGTGGGATCCTGCCTGAAAGGGGGAGGGAGTGACACTCCCCAATAATTCCTGTCTTCCACCCCATTCTCATAGCCTCTTCCCTTACACAGCCCAACTCCCATGTACCCGCCTACATACCTGGAGCCTGGGATTGGGTAAGTGGAGTCCAGTAAGGAGGGAGGTGCTTCCCATTATTTGGCTGAAGGGAGAAGTGGGGGGTGGGGTGGGAATGCTCTTTTCCTACTGACCGCCCTTCTTCACTTCCCCCAGGAGGCACACACCATATGGCAACCAAACTGACTACAGAATATTTGAGCTTAACAAACGGCTTCAAAACTGGACAGAGGTATGACCAGGAGAAGAGGGCTGGGAGGGGGAGGACCATCTGGGAACCCCTGTGGGTTGTCTTCTAACACACACACACACACACACACACACACACACACACACACATACAAACATCCTGCCCTGTGCTCCTTAGGAGTGTGACAATCTCTGGTGGGATGCTTTCACAACTGAGTTCTTTGAGGATGATGCCATGTTAACCATCACTTTCTGCCTGGAGGATGGACCAAAGAGATATAGTGAGTGGCCCTGGGGGTCCTGCTGGTTCTGCTGTGAGAGTAATACCTCCTGTGTCTATCTAAGGACTGGGAGTAGGTATTGTCTCTGGGGATCTGTTTTGGCAATGATGGCATCTGCCTGACCCCTTTGGAAGTCCTTCTGTTCTATTGAGTTTGTCCCATCTCTACAGCCATTGGCCGGACCTTGATCCCACGCTACTTCCGCAGCATCTTTGAAGGGGGTGCTACGGAGCTGTACTATGTGCTTAAGCATCCCAAGGAGGCATTCCACAGCAACTTTGTGTCCCTCGACTGTGACCAAGGCAGCATGGTGACCCAGCACGGCAAACCCATGTTCACCCAGGTCAGCAGCCCAGCTGGATGTGGAACACTGAAGCACTTGGGTTTGATTCCCCTCCTTTCTCCCAAAATATGCTCAGCTGTTCCCCAGGGAGGCAGAATGGGAAGTGCCAAGACGAGAAGGGAGGGTAGGCATGCACAGCATCCATCAGGCGTTTACCGAGTTTGCACGGGATGGTTTTCTGGGCCACAGGGGTGCACCAGTGAAAGAGAACCTGCCCTCGTTGAGCTTATAGCAGATGAGTGTATCACTAGCTACTTGGGAAGAGGACAAGGGTCTATTTGGCATTGCTGCTGTGCATGTGTATGTGGGGGGGTGGTTGACAGGTGTGTGAGCACGTGGGCTTGGTCCGTTATGCACCCAGATTCAGGGGCAAGTGGCAGAAGTGTATTCAGTGGGAGGGTTGTGAGCAAACGGGAGAACAGGTGCACTTTCAGGTACGTGGGGAGGGGGCAGGGACGTGACAAGCTTGTCTCCAGGTGTGTGTGGAGGGCCGGTTGTACCTAGAGTTCATGTTTGACGACATGATGCGGATAAAGACGTGGCACTTCAGCATCCGGCAGCACCGCGAGCTCATCCCCCGCAGCATCCTTGCCATGCACGTGAGTCGCAGGCGGCGCCCAGGCTCCCAGGGTTGAGGGCAGGTACTGGGGAGGGTGGCTGGAACAGGGTCTGGCGTTGTGCGACCGTGACCTCAGACAGAGGGTTAGAGTATCTCCATCTGAAGAATGGGTTTCATAGCAGCTCCTCTTCTCCCTCAGGAGCGTCACAAGGCTCAGGTGATAGGTCAGATGAGCAGGTGCAGCCCAGGTGCTAGTGTTCTCTTCCTCCTCCTCACCTAGGCCCAGGACCCCCAGATGCTGGATCAGCTCTCCAAAAATATCACCCGGTGTGGGCTGTCCAATTCCACTCTCAACTACCTCCGAGTGAGTCCTTGATTGCGCAGTTTCTGCCCATCCCACTGGGTGTCTGCTCCGCGTCAGCTCTCCCCTGACAAGCCACCTCGTGGTCTCCCCTCAGCTCTGTGTGATACTCGAGCCCATGCAGGAGCTCATGTCCCGCCACAAGACCTACAGCCTCAGCCCCCGTGATTGCCTCAAGACCTGCCTTTTCCAGAAGTGGCAGCGCATGGTAGCACCCCCCGGTAAGTGCCTTCCACCTGCCCCTGCTCTTACTGGGACCCAGTGGCACTCCCTGCCCCTGGTCTGTCCCCTCGCAAAGCCCCTTCCTCACTCCTGGGTCTGCGAGATTGGGATCAGGGTAGGCTCAAGCTCTTCAGGGACCAGAATGGGGAGCAAGGGACTGGAGGCCTTTCCCCTCCTAAATCTCCTTTTCTTGGTACAGCGGAGCCCGCACGGCAGCAGCCCAGCAAGCGGCGGAAACGAAAGATGTCAGGGGGCAGCACCATGAGCTCGGGGGGTGGCAACACCAACAACAGCAACAGCAAGAAGAAAAGCCCAGCCAGCACCTTCGCCCTCTCCAGCCAGGTACCTGTAAGCATCTCGGCTTTCTTCTCTCTTCTGGGCTGCCCTACTGCTGACCCCTAACCCTTGACCCTGCCCCAGCCTGAGCTCACTAGCAGGCGTAGAAGCAAAGACAGTTTTTCCTGGTGTACTCTGCCAGCATGGGCTGGCTCCTGTCACTGATGAGAGTCCTTGTCAGTCCCATGGCATGGCTGTGATCACAGACTCAGAACATAGGACACGAAGGGACAGAGACAGCCGTGAGAATGTGGATGTTCAGGAGAGACAGCTTGGAGGCACACATATCATTAGAGAGACACACACTGATAGAGGGACACGAATTTGAACGTGTGCAATTCTAGAATATGCACATATGCACATGCACACACTTTCCTCATTGGCGTTTTGCTGTCTGCTTCCTCTGTCTTACATGTGGACGAAGTTTAGGAGCCCTCTGAAGTTTGGGGGAGATGAACTAGGGAGCAAGGGGAGTAGATTGACTTCTCCTAGAACCTAGTGTTTGTGGGTTAAAGGCTGTGACACTCTGCAATCCTTCATTGGGAAGGATTCCAGGGACTGAGGGTGTCAGAGGAGTTGGGGTTTTAAATTGGGGTGAGAAGGGCTTGGGGGTATTGAGTTTCCTGGGTGGGTATTGGGGCTCTCTGCTGCCCTGGGCCGGGCGAGCCCCTGCCCCGATTATGTTTGGGGACCTCCGCCACTCTCAGGATGTGATGGTGGTGGGGGAGCCCACCCTGATGGGCGGGGAGTTCGGGGACGAGGACGAGAGGCTCATCACCCGGCTGGAGAACACCCAGTTTGACGCGGCCAACGGCATTGACGACGAGGACAGCTTTAACAACTCCCCCGCCCTGGGCGCCAACAGCCCCTGGAACAGCAAGCCTCCATCCAGCCAAGAAAGCAAATCGGAGAACCCCACGTCACAGGCCTCCCAGTAGAGGCCTTGCCATGGCCACCCAGTGCTCTGCCTGCCTGCCCCACCCCTCGCAGCCCCAGGGAGCAGAAGACAGAATGAAGAGACTGAGCATCTAAAATGGGCAGCCTCCATCCACCCACTTCAGGGAGGAACTGGACTCGCTGGGGGCAGGTGGCAAGATTTGCCCACCAGTGGCCCTGGGCTGGGCCTGGCCTCTGCAGAGCCTTTTGGGGGAAGGGGTTACTCATGTGGATGCCTGCGTGGACCCTGGGCCTCTCAGAAATGTCCTGACCATCCCCCAGGGCATTTGCCTCCATCTTCACCCCAGGTTCTGGGTTCCCATCCTCCTGATCCCACCCCCTTCAAGCCTGGGGTTGTTTATCCCACAACCCTTAGGGACTTAAAGTTATGGGGCTTGGTTGAGTGCCCCTTTCCTAAGCCTTCCCCTAGGTGGCTGGTAGTAGAGGGCTTGAAGCTCTGGCTCCTCCCTGCAGCCACCTATCCCAGCTCCCAAGTTTTTTAAAAAATAATATTATTAAAAATGTAAGTTTAAAAAAAAATCATTCATGTACCCCCTCTTTCCCTTATTAAAAAGTCCAGCTACCTCCCTACTCCTGGCAGATGTGGGGCTTGGGGCCCAGGCGGAGGTGAGTGTGGGGGTGGAGGTGTGCATTACCATTTTTTACAGTTGGAGAGCTTCAGACCAAGGACATACTTTCCATCTCTCTTCCCTTTCCTCTGGGGTGACTGGAGTTGGGGAAGGCATGCCTTGGGGTAGGAGGCCATTGATGGCCTCATCTTTGTGACAACCCCCTGCTGTTGTCTCCGTCTCCCCATCCTCCAGGACTCTGGCCTGCTGTCCTAGTGCTTGTGACTCCCACTGTCCATCCCATCCCCCTCCCCCATGGTGTGTATGTTCTTACAAGTCCTCCACTAGAGCAGCCGTCTTGGATGGGGGGAAGGGAGGCGCCCTCCCTTGGGAAGTGTGGAGGGAAGGGAGCACCGTGTTTGTTGCTGTTTTTTGTTTTGTCTCAGTTGGGCAGGCATGGGATGGAGGGGGTGGGGCTCATCCACTCTCTCCAGTACTCTCTTCCCCCCAGCTCCTCAGACTGTGTATCTAGTCCTCCCCTGTCCTCCACCGAGGGGAAGGAGCCATGGAGAGTGTCCTAGCCCTAAGCCCACCTGGGAGCAATAGACCTCTAGCTCCCAGCCGAAGTAAAGGGTCTTCATCTCCAATATCGCTTCCATCCCCTTCCTCGTAGAAGGGAGGGGGGAAGCAGCCAGGATCCTCAGCTCTGTTTCACAGTTGGACACACGGAGGCTCTGGGCCCAGGGTGAGGCCAGGAGTTAGGGTCCCATGGGTCTGGGCCCAGCTCTGTGGCTTCGCTGCCTTTTCCTGTGGCCAGTTCCAGAAGTGTTAGCACCGCCTCTCTCCCCTACTCTTCCTTCTGGATTCTGGGGTCTCCCGCACCCAGTTTCCTTCACTCCAGCTGCCACTGTTGAGAGGGTATTGTGTCAGGAGCTGAGGGAAGGGGTGGGGAAGATGGATGTCCCACCCCAAATGTAATGCCTTTTTTTTTTTTTTTTTTTTTTTTTTGGGCCATTTGAGTCATGTATGGTACTGATCAATAAAGAGACTTTTTGGTTTGAGAGTGTTGTCTTGGTCATTGATGCCTAAAAATTCAGTCCCAAGCAGTCTTTTCCCCCACCCCCGTTCTTCCTATGGTCCCTAAAATCAGTTACTAAGAAGGAAGTAGGAATTGCTTATGGATTCCCCTTCAGTCTCACCTCACATTTCCCCTCTTCTGCCCTTGCTCCTCCTGTCCCAGACTGGCCCGTGTCTCCCTCAAAAGCTGACTTCCTTGTCCCCTGGGACAATTGTTCCTCACCCCCAACTGCCATGGGGCTGCCAGACCAGTGGCCTTTCTGAGGCAGGTTTCCTGGGATGGAAGGCCCTGGATCAGACTTTTGGGGGAGGGTGTCAGGGCCGGGGTCCTTGCCTAGGCTTGGGTTGGAGGAGCTTTGGGTGGTTAGAATGACTGGGAGACTTGGTCCTATTTTTGTCAGTGAAATTCTTGTCCCTACCCAGCGTCCAGCCTGCCAGCCCAGCTTAGCTCCCTGAGCTGGTGTCCCCTGGTGTTAGGTCCTTGGATGAGGACGTATGAGAGTAGCTGGGTTGTTTGTCTGCCTGCTGACTTTGGGTGGGGACATGAAGGAGGGTGCCTAAGTGCAATTGCTAGGGGCAGCCAGAATCTCCTTTGGTAGAAGGAAGAATAGCCTGCTTTTCAGACTCCTTTCCAGGTGGTTCCTCCTCCCAAGTCCTCTTCTCTCTAACCATTAAAGAAGATTGGCAAGACAGGGAGACCCTGCTGTCGGTTGGGGGGGTGGGATCTTAGCACCCACCAATTCCACTGCCCAGGCTCTTCATGCCAAGCAGGGGAATCCAGCCTCTCAGACTTCCCCCACTAAAGTCTTTGGATTTGAAGTAGCCTCAAAGACCTATATCTCTACTCTCACCTCCCCAGCGGGCAGGAAGAAACCAGAGGAAAGGACTAAATGACCCTTCTCACCCCCTCTCCAGTCTACACAGTTACCTTGGCCCTTCCTGCTGCCAACCCAGCTCCTCGCTGCCCATTGCCTCAGGACCCCAACACCTGTATTCGTGCACATGCCCACTTCATTCCTCTGCAGGTCTGACTTGATGGACATTTACCAGCCAGATCACCCTGGGAGTGCTAGTGAACACCTATCTGCAGTGTGATCGTGTTTGGAACTAGGTGTATGTATAGCCGGCTTTCTTGCCCGAGTGTGTGCCAGTGTATGTATGTGGCCACCAGGCTGGGAGAGGGCTTGGATATGGGTATGTAATGGAACACTGCATGTGTGACTGTATGTAGGCTTATCTATGCATTTGTTTATGGGACTTGTCTTGGTGGATTTATTTGTTCATTGAGCCCTCTCTAGGTGCCAGGCGTAACTCTAAGTGGTAGAGATAGGGTGCTGAACAAAGCAGAGAAGGCCTGACTGCTGGGTGTGAATGGGAGGCTACAAGTACGTAAATGAGGGCATGTTGTCGAATGCATGGATTGGCAGTATTGTGTTGTGTTATGGGGCTGCTGCGCCAGCAAGCCTGTGACAAAGTTGCGGGTTCATATCTCTGTGTGTGTGTGTGTGTGTGTGTGTGTGTGTGTGTGTTTTGGAAGAGGCAGTGGTCATGGGAAGAGGTAGATTGCCTGGACTCTGCCCTGCTTGGGGTAAGGCAGTGAGCCAGAGAGACAAGGGAACCCACTTTTTGAACTCAGGAAGCATAGTGGCCAGCGACTTCCTCTGGAACCCTAGTTCCGGCTCCTCCCCTGGGTCCTCCCCATTTGCCCCAGCAGCCCCTCTGGGGAAGGCCCTTAGTCTGGAGGAATTGCTAGGGTCGGGGGAACGGAAATCCCTTCAAGGCCCAGCCCCAGCGCCCAGCATGATGCTGAAAAGCTTGGTTCAGCCCATCAGTGTACCAGTCCCAGTGCAAAGACACAAGCCCTCAACCCCCAGACCCCGAGATCTGCCTGAGCCAAGCTCCTTCCTTGTTTCTATTCTAGCTCAATCCAGTCTGACCTTCATCCCCTTTCATAGGAATTCCAGCACAACCTCCAGCACCTCTTTTATATTCTTAGCCCAATTCATCCTGACCTCTATCTAACCCCTTCCCCAAAGTTAAGATTCCAGCCCAGCCAGACCAGCTCAGTTCAATCTGACCTCAAGTCCCTTATTGGAAGGTGAGTTCTAAGCTGGTCCTCCAGGGCCTTCCCTTAACACTTACTTCACAAAGCAGGGCCTTATCTTAGGGATTGGTAGAAGCTGAAGTGAAGGTACAGGATTGGAGCTACAGCCTGGAAGAAGAATGGGCAGGGAAGGCAAGCAAAGGAAGAGCAAGAAGTGGTGAAAATGGCCTAGGAGTGTTCTGGGCCAGGCTGAAAGGAAGGAGTATGTAAAATGTTTTGAGTCAGCAGCCCACTAGTTCTAAGCTGAACTTTAAAGATGCTGGGTTTGACCCGTGCTAGTTAGTCCCAGCTCTCCAGTATCCAGAATCCTTACAACTATCTACCGTGTGGCCCCATCTCTCAGGACTCACCTCTAAGGCTCCTCCCCACCCCCACCCTGAGGTCTTTGACGAAGTGGAACAGGAAATGGTGGGAAACTACACACTTGCCCTTCCTAGACTGGAGAGTGGGGGAAGCTGGATAGAAATAGAAGCCGACCTACATCTCCAGGTTCCCATTTCAGCCTTGGGAAGGGTCCATTTTCCCGCCAATTCCGGGACCCTTTTCCTGGAGTAGCCAAACCCTGGATTATTCCCCTTCCTGCTGCCCCACCAGCTCACTTTTGCAGGAGGAGAAACTAGAGACAGTTGGTGGAGAAAAACCCTAGAGAGGGTTGAGGGGAGAAGAATCTTCTCACCATCACTCCCAAATGAGTAAATTTGTTTGGAGAAGGTGAGCATAATTTCTCTTCTTTTCCTTTAAGGATATCAGGTGCACAGAATTAGATTAATCATAACTTTGGTTCATGACACATTATTTTCATTGTTCCATGCACAGGACACATTTATTTATTTATAATACTGTTGCAAGATCTCATCAACATGAAAGTTAGGACCTTGGAAATAACTGAAGTCTGTTGTCCATTCCCATCCCACTCTTCTCCCATCATTCCATCATTGTTTTTTCCTTTTTATATATTTATCTTTGCCATATGTACAGATTTCCCCCACTATCCAAAAGTAGAGCATTCCTATGCAACCTGTAACAAAAATGGTATAAAGGAAAGAAGCAATGACCAGTAATTTATATGGAAAATATTTTTGAGGATTCCTAGACTCAAAAAATAACGTTTCAGGCTTTTTTTTTTTTTTAAAGATTTGTTTGTTTATTATTTTTGTGAGTGAGTGAGTGAGAGAGATTCCTAAGCAGACTCTGCACTGAGCATGGAGCCCAATGTAGGGCTCAATCTCACAATCCTGAGATCGTGACCTGAGCTGAAACCAAGAGTCAGGTGATTAATTGTGCCACCCAGGTGCCCCAAAAGTGAAAATCTTCGGACATTTTTCAGTTGTTGAAAATAGATACTAATGGAGGTCTTTCATAAAGGTGAAGTGGTTTAACGTGAAGTTTTTTTTTTATATGAACTTTTTAAAAAAGATTTTATTCATTTATTTGACAGAGATCACAAGCAGGCAGAGAGAGGGGGAAGCAGGCTCCCTGCTGAGCAGAGAGCCCGATGTGGGACTCGATCCCAGGACCCTGAGATCATGACCTGAGCCGAAGGCAGAGGCTTTAATCCACTGAGCCACCCAGGCGCCCCAAGAAATATGTTTTGACCAGAGATCTGAGAAGGCTTCTTGCTGGAGGTGAAATTGGTTGTGACTATTGAAGAGAGGGAGAGCTGTGGCAGGTGATTTCGGTGAGGACCTAAGGACATTCTAAGTCGAGGGAAAGTTTTAGGGAAGGTACTGAAGCAGGAGGGTCTAGGGAGAAGACAACTGAGCAAGTAAGTGGGTCTGTAGCAGCAAAGGGCGCACTGTAGCCTTTTGGGGTGTCGAGAGAAGGAATGGTGCGGGAGAGAA